AATTTTCTAATCTTTACATTTCAATGGTTATTTTTCCCTAGCCTGTCTTTTCTTTTTTTCATAATGTCTTGCTCTTTTCTTAGCATTTCAATTCTTCTTTTAGGTTTCTAATTGTCTAAAATATACTGATTTTATATTTTCTTTCAAATTTTAGCCTATTATCTCTGGTTTGGAGGGCTCTAATCACTTTCCTCTTATTTTTTTTTTAATGTAGACCTAAATGTTTTCACATTTTATTTATGCCTTTTGATAACATCTAGAGGAGGTAATTTTGGCATGTTTCATAAATATTAAAGTAAAACTAAAATTATAATCCATATTTTCTTCAGGAGCATTGTTTTCTCTCTAAGCTTTACTTTTATCTTAGAATTTGAAGTTTCCTTCCTTTTTGGCTCAATTCTATCTTCTTCAAAAATCATTAGAAATAATGGGCTAATTTTTTTGGAAGTAAAAGTGAATTCTGTACAAATGTTTCCACTGGTTTACAGGTGAGGTAGTCCACCATAGGTCTCAAAGATCTTTGCACAGTCTTGCTAAGTGTGCCACACTAAGGCCTAACCATCCCCTGATACTGAACTGTGCAACTGACTTTATCTGTGTATTATTCCAGTCTAATGAATGGCTGGACAGATTTCTGTAACACTTTTTCACTCTGAGCTAGGTTGTACTTTCTTAGTCCTTTCTTTTGGCCAAGGGCTATTAAATTTGGACCATAGGACATTATTTTGTGAAATCCAGATGTGCACCACTGTCTGAGTTCCATTGATAGGAAGTCTATTTGGATAGTTGGATTAAAATCAATCCTTCATGTTTATTTCACTGTAAGATGAACTTTTGAGTCAATTTATGTGACAATGACTGAATAATAGTATTTAAGACTCTGAAGATCACACATATGAACACTGTAACCCAGACAAATACTAACAGAATATTTTATAATCAGACTTTATAGTATACTTTTAGGAAACAAGTGTGTCCAAAATTAAACTAAGACTATAGATCCTATGCCCCAATCTGAAGGGTCTACAGAACTAGCTATCAGAAGAGGGCCACTGTTCTCCAGCCCCCAGGATGGCAGATCCACCAAAAGCTTGCACCATGAACCTGGAAAAGCCTCGATACTCAATTTCAGCCTGCGCAGGAGCTGCCGCCCAAGGCTGTGGGAGCCCACTTCTTGCATCAGCATCCTCCAGATGTAAGACATGGAGTCAAAGGAGATCATTTTGGAGTTTTAAGATTTAATGACTGCCCCACCGGGTTTCGGATTTGCATGGGGCCCGTGGCCCCTTTGTTTTGGTCAATTTCTCCCATTTGGAATGGGAACATTTACTCAATGCTTGTACCCCCACTGTATCTTGGAAGTAACTAATTTCTTTTTTATTTTACAGGTTCATAGGCAGAAAGGATTTGCCCTGTCTCAAATGAGACTTGGACTTTTGTGTCAATGCTGAAATGAGTGAAGACTTTGGGGGACTATTGGGAAGGCATGATTGGTTTTGAAATGTGAAAAGGACATGACATTTGGGAGGGGCTGGGGACAGAATAATACAGTTTGGCTCTGTGTCCCCACTCAAATCTCATCTCGAATTGTAATCCCCATAATCCCCACATGTCCAAGGAGGAACCCAGTTGGGGGTGATTGCATCATAGGAACAGTTTCCTCCATGCTGTTCTCGTGATAGTGAGTGAGTTTTCACAAGATCTGTTGGTTATGAGGGGCTCTTCCCCCTTCGTTCCTCACTGGATGTAACTATAGTAACAAAGGCTATTATTTAAACTTACTTGTCTCTATATTTTTAAGTGAAATAAATATTAAATTTTTTCTTTCTCATAGACATGTGTTACGATTTACCTACACTAGATATTCCTAGAATATGCACATGATTGAATGAGTTTTCTGATCAATTATATTTAAAATTTCCCGTTGCCTAGGGAAGGCCAGGATGGAAGGGGTAGGAGGAATGGGAGACTGGTGCTATGTATCTGTGACAGAATCCTGACAATCTTCAGCCACCCCTAGTCTTTTTTTCTGCTAGCCCTTAGTGCCTGGTAAGCCTGACTGGTTTCATCCTAAGGTTAGGCAACAGGAAGAAGGTGACTGCAACCTTTTGCTTCTGCTATGACTCGGTTTCAGTTGTTGGACATAGAAGAGTACAGGCCATGAGGATAATAGTTGGTGAAATTCATGGGCCCTAGAGTATCCCTACAGTGGCCTACTTGGGCAATGTTAGAGGATGTCATGGGCTGTTGCAAGTGCTACCCATTGTGCCCAGTTCCCATGAGCCTTCATCCATCTGGGTAGAGGTGGTGGATGGCTGGGGGAAAGGAGAAATAGTGGCTACTGATTTAAAACAAATGGACTATATGGAAAGAGCAATAAACCTGGGACCTGGGGAAGCAATACCTTAGTCCCCAGGAGGTGTGGGGAGGGGGAAAACATTTAATGCTTTCTTTGTCCCCTAGATGTAGCACTGCAGCATGGCAAAACAATCACTTGGTCCACCCGAGTCAGGCGGCAGCTGCAATTGGCAACACAACGCTGCTGCTGGGTTTACCATCCCCATCCTCATGCTATAAAAACAGAACACTCATGTAGGTATGGCAGGATCTGAACTATTTCACTGCACATGACACTCTCACAATAGCAGCACTGTTTAGCCATACCTGACACCCTCACAATAACATGACTATTTGGCTGTGTCTGACACCTCAGCTCCTTCCTCATATGTGCACCAAGGCAACTTTGATTCAATCTGACGGTAAGAATTAAGGCATGGAGCCCTCAGCCCTGGGTTCCATTAGCTATGGCACAACTCACTGTGCATATAGTCTCCATGCTCATCACAACATTCTGTGAGACTTGGAGGCATTGGAACCAGAGCTACCATGCTCATGCCCCTGCTGTTTGCCATGGTGTCTTACTCTGATTTCATTGTTTATTTTGAGCAGCTATGGATGGCAGGTTTACTCCCTGCCCTTGCCCCTTCCAGAGGTGGGGGGCTCTTCTCCAACAAACAGAACAAGGCAAGACAAGATTTTTATCTCTTAATGAAGAATATAATAATTCTAAATGGACTCCTTCCCTCCTTCTCCTTTCTATTTCTGCCCTTCTTTTTCTTTTTCTTTTGTTCACCCATTATAAATCATTTATTCAAAAGATACTGAATTTTAGCATAGTTAGAAAATTTTAAGATTATAAAATCGTATAAGTTTTTTTTAAGAGTTCCTCAGAAACATTCTTTTCAAGGCCTGAAACCAAAACTGTTAAAATATTTGACACTTTTATCTCTTTTATAGGCAATTATAATTGAAGTTTCCATGTCGTTTTCTTTTTTATGTTAGACACTCTGTATATTAGAATTTTTAAAATCTAAAAACAAATACATATATATTAAAGGCTACTCATTAGGAAAGAGAAAAGATCTGAGCCTTTAGTTGACTATCCATTTCCAGTCTTTTTTTTTTTTTTGAACTTTTTATCATGTATATTCTGAAACACAGAAAACAAGACTATAATGAACGCCCATGTATTCATCATCAGCTTTAACAACTGTTAACATTCTGCTAATCTTATTTCATCTAACTCCCCAACATTTTTTTCTGAAGTTTTTTTTTTTTTTTTGAGACGGAGTCTGCACTGTTGCCCAGGCTGGAGTGCAGTGGCGCAATCTCGGCTCACTGCAAGCTCCGCCTCCTGGGTTCACACCATTGTCCTGCCTCAGCCTCCTGCATAGCTGGAACTACAGGCACCCGCCACCATGCCCGGCTATTTTTTTTGTATGTTTAGTAGATATGGGGTTTCATCGTGTTAGCCAGGATGGTCTCGATCTCCCGACCTTGTGATCCGCCCGCATTGGCCTCCCAAAGTGCTGGGATTACAGGTGTGAGCCACCGCGTCTGGCTTTCTGAAGCATTTAAAAAAAAATTCCTGAGGCCAGGCATGGAGGCTCACATGTGTAATTCTAACACTTTGGGAGGCCAAGGCAGAAGGATCCCTTAAGGCCAGTTCGAGGCCAGGTGTTTGAGATCAGCTGGGGCAATATAGCAAGACCTCTTTTTTACAAAAAAAATTAAAAATCAGCTGGGTGCAGTAATGTGTGCCTGTAGTCTCCGCTGAGGCAGGAAGATCCCTTGAGCCCAGAAGATAGAGGTTACAGTGAGCTGTGATTGTGTCACTGCACTCCAGCCTGGGCAATAGAGTGAGACCCTGTCCCCCTTCTTCCCCCCAAAAAATCCTGACACTTTATTTCACATAAATATATGTAAGTCAACGTTTGGTTGGTTGGTTGTTTTTTTTTTTTTTTTTTTTTTAGAAAGAGTCTTGCTCTTGTCGCCCAGGCTGGGGTGCAATGGCACAATCTCGGCTCACTACAACCTCTGCCTCCTGGGTTCAATCAATTCTCCTGCCTCAGCCTCCCAAGTAGCTGGGATTACAGGTGCCCACCATCACATCTGGCTAATTTTGTATTTTTTTTTTTTTTTTTTTTTAGTAGAGACGAGGTTTCTCCCTGTTGGCCAGGCTGGTCTCGAACTCCTGACCTCCTGATCTGCCCGCCTTGGCCTCCCAAAGTGCTGGGATTACAGGTGTGAGCCCATGACCAGCCTGTAAGTCAATCTTAATCCTACAGAAGTAAATGTAATACAAATAGAACTATAGCATATAAATGAAGAAATATTAGGTTGGTGCAAAAATATATTCATCCCATTTGTTCATTAAAGCCAGGTAGCTAGGCACTGTGGTAGGTGGGGAGATCAGAAAGATAGCCACATGAGGACAGGAGAAGAAAGTTCATAGGTTATTAGGTGAATAAGCAAATACAAGACTTATTGATCCTAAATGATGATGATCACTTACTGTTTGATCATCAAAGGATGAAGATCACTTACTGTTTTAAGCCCTCTGCAAATGTCAATTCATTCATTCTTCACAATCATCCTTTGAGGTAAGCAGTATTATTACAGATGAAGAAACTGAGATCATGCAAAGTAAAGTAACTTACTTGCTGGAGAGCGTTCAGATAGTGTGTGGTAGAGCTAGGATTTGAATCTAAGCAATCTGATTTCAGAGGCTGTGATCTAAAGGGAAATAAAAGAGGAGACTACTTTAATATTGTGGTAAAAACAACGCTATCTGTTCATCATACTATTTCATTTCTTCCCTAAGCACACAAGAAGACCATATTTTCCAAGTCCCTAGACTTTAAATGGGCTGTATGACTAATTCTGGCTAATGGAACATGGGTGGACGTAAAAAAAAATCTCATACAGTGATGGCTTCCCACAATGGAAGGAGCTTGGGTCTCTGAGTTACTACTTAGAGGACAGTCCCCATCAGGTACATCTTTATTGAGATTCGTGAGCATGAGAAATAAACTCTTACTCTGTTAAGTCACCAAGATTTTGGAGTTTTAATGGCAGCTAGTGTAAATTATACTAATAGAAACACTTTAATTTAAATGTTTTAAAATTATGAAATATTTAAAAATATTGAAAAGTACAGAATATATTAACAATCAGATCTCTATCCCCCGATTTAATAGATATTAATATTGTCACATTTCCTTTATGTTTTTCTTCCAGAAATCCATAAGATAAAATAGCTAGTAACCAACAAAGCATCATCTTATCCTTTAGCCCTCCCTAGAAGTAACTACTATCCTGCAGGTGGTATATATCATCCGCATTTATATTTTTTACTTTTACTACAATATACTGAATTATAGAGTATTATTTTGTGTGTTTTTCTTTTTCTTTCTTTTTTTTTTTTTTTTTGAGATAAGGTCTCGCTCTACTGCCCAGGCTGGCATGCAGTGGTGTGATCTCAGCTCTCTGCAACCTCTGACTTCCAGGCCCCAGCAATCCTCCCACCTCAGCCTCCCGAGTAGTTGGGACTACAGGTGCATGCCATCACCCCTAGCCAATTTCTTGTATTTTTTTGTAGAGACAGAGTGTTGTCGTGTTGACCAGGCTGGTCTCGAACTCCTGGGCTCAGGTGATCTGCCCGCTTTGGCCTCCCAAAGTGCTGGGATTACAGGCATCAGCTACTGTGTCCGGGTTTTGTATGCTTTTAAAATGGATACAAATAGTATCAAAAAGTTTGCTTTTTTTTATTCAGTATTGTTTTTAAGATGTATCCATGTTGGTTTACATAGCTGTAATACATTTGAACAGTTACGTAAAAATATAGTTATTTATTTATTTATTTATTTAATTTTTGAGACAGAGTCCTGCTCTGTCACTCAGGCTGGAGTGCAGTGGTGGATCTTGGCTCACTGCAACCTGCGCCTCCCGGGTTCAAGCAATTCTCGTGCCTCAGTCTCCCAAGCAGCTGGGATTACAGGCTTGCACCACCACGCTCAGCTATATATATATATATATATATATATTTGTATTTTTAGTAGAGACAGAGTTTTCATCATGTTGGCCAGGCTGATCTGGTACTCCTGGCCTCAAGCAATTCGCTTGCCTCAGCCTCCCAAAGTGCTGGGATTACAGGTATGAGCCACCATGCCTGGGCAAAAATATAGTAGTTTACTTATCTATTCTCCTACTGAGAGACAGTTAAGATCGTTCATATTTTCTTGCTTCTACAAATAAAGCTGCAATGAAGTTCCTTGTACATGCCTAATGTAATATAGTCAGGAAGTTCTCTCTGAGGATTTTATCATTAAAACTGATTCTTGAAGGATGAAAAGCCAGCCAGGAAACAATATTTCAAGTATCTGCAACATAATGCAAGATATCTTCAGTGGGAGGGAATGGCATGTACTATGTAACCAGTGAAGTTACAGTGTAGTAAGGGAATAAGTGGCAGGAGATGGGGAGTTTATTGAAATTTCTGTGAGTTGAATAGATATCTTTAAAAATAGAAAAGTATTATTTATGAAAAATAATATTCTAAAGAAAAATAGGGTAAAAATTCAGCAATAGGACTATGAAACTTACTGTGCTTGAATTATTGGAGACCAGAGAGGTAAAGTAAACGAAAGCTCCTGAGTGCAGTGATATCCCACCTCCCAACCAGATAGTGTTACCAAAATGCCAGGGGTTTGGTCTAGGTCCCATTGCTCCCTGCACAGAAAGCCAATCACTGAGACAACGACTATTGTCAGGGAAGTAATCATTCCATCTCTCTGACTGACTAAAATTGGGGGTTTATATAGTGGGAAAGGAATATAACTACATGTGGGTAAACAGGAATTAGGGAGAGGTAAGGAAATCATGAAGGATGAGGGACCTGGCTTCTCATTGTCTAGATATGGTGACCTGGTTTCGGTTTCTTGAAACTATCTGGGAGGCGTGAGGGTTATTTTCCTGAGAACGGAACTCAGTTAAGACAAATACAAGTTTCAAGCTTTAAAACTGGAAGGGTTAATATCTATGTTTATTTTAAAAGACTGTAAACATCGGTTCTATGGGACAATTGGGCTGATTCCAGTAATATAGCCACTTGGCAAACATAGGAAGGGCTAGTAGAATAAATTAATGGGGAAAGAACGAAAATGTTAGCATGTTTGGCTGAGTTACTAAAGAAATGACCCATATTTAAAGCACTTTTGGAAAGTTTCCAATTTATCATTTTAAAGCTTACAGTAAAATATTTGACACTATAGTATAGGTACATACTTCTTTCATTCACATTTTTCAGTTGTTCCTCTATTTGGTGATCACATGATTCACACTTCAGATCGTTTCAGAACTAGCAGCATGATATTTTCTCAGGTCTTAAATTGACTGAAATGCCTCAGATGTTTCATGAGATTAATCTGATTTTAACAAAAGGAACAAAAAAGATTGCAAAACATGGAGAAAAAGGGGAATTTCCTTTAAAGCCTTTTTGATGGAAAAATGAAATTATGATACATATGGTTTCATTTAATGTACAGCTGCCCCTCAGACTCAAAAGGGTTGAAAAGGAATTGAAAAGTGTTTTTTTTTTCATTATTTTGATAAGATTTGCAATCACTTCTATCCAAAATGGAAAGCAACAGCAGAAACTGCATTCATTCAACAGATGCGGCATTCATAGTCAAGTCGAGGAGGAACCATGGGCATGGTCTGACCAACCTAGAAAAAAATGAGAATATTGTAATGACTTTGCATTTAGAATAAAACCCAAACTTCTTACTGTGGCCTCTAAAGCCATTAGCAGAGTAGCCTTTGCCTGTCTCTCTATGCAAATTAAAACCACACAATTAATTTGTGTAGGGAGCAAACAAATTTTGTTAGAATGTCTATAATCAAAAAGATGAAAGATAACAAGTGTTGGTGAAGGTGTGGAGAAAAGGGAACCCTTGTACACTATTTGATGTAAATGTAAATTTGTAGTACACCCATTTTGGAAAACAGTATGGAGGTTCCTTAAGAAACTAAAAATAGAATTACTACAGGATGCAGCAATCTCACTTCTGGGTATATATCCAAAGGAACTGAAATCAGCATGTTGAAGAGATGTCTGCACTCCCATGTTCACTGCACCATTATTCATAATAGCTAAGATGTGGCATCAAAGTATCCATCAACCAATGAATGAATTAAAAAATGTGGTATAAATACACAACAGAATACTATTCAGCCTTAAAAAAGAATTAAATTCAGGCCGGGCATGGTGGCTCACGCCTGTAATCCCAGCACTTTGGGAGGCCAACGTGGGTGGATCACCTGAGGTCAGGAGTTTGAGACCAGCCTGGCCAACATGGCCATCTCTACTAAAAATACAAAAAAAAAAAAAAAAAAAAAAAAAAAAAAAAAAAAAAAAAAAAAAATTAGCTGGGCGTGGTGGCACGCGCCTGTAATCCCAGCTACTCAGGAGGCTGAGGCAGGAGAATCGCTTGAACCCGGGAGGCAAGGTTGCAGTGAGCCAAGATCGCGCCACTGCACTCCAGCTTGGGCGACAGAGCAAGACTCCGTCCCCCCCCCCCCCAAAAAAAAAGAAGTAGACAAGTAGAGAGCAGAATGGTGGTTACCACCAGAGGCTGGGTAGGGCAGTGGATGGGGAAAGGGGTAATATTAGTCAAAGGGTACAAAGTTTCAGTTAGACAGGAGGAATAAGTTCTGGTGATCTATTGCACAGCAATGTGACTACAATTAACAATAACTTTTTGTATCTTCCTAAATTGCTAAAAGTGGATTTTAAATGTTCTCACCAAAAGAAGTAAGTATGTATATCATTTGATAGATATGTTAATAGCCTGATTTGCTCATTCCACAATGGTTACATGTTTCAAAACATCACATTGTATGCCATAAGTATATACTATCAACCATTAAAAATAAAAATAACATTTAAAAATGAGGTAGCTGCCTTCCAGCAACTGTGTCTGTAGGGGGTATAATCCCAATGCATTTTAATATCTAGCACAATGATATTCTTTTCCAATGTGCTTTAGGACCACAAAGGGAGGGAACAAGTGAGGTTACACCTTCAGAAGCAGATGAGCCGCTTTCAACAATGATAAAGAATTACTCAAGTGATGACAGCAAGAGTATTCTAACCTTAGGGAACATCATGAACATCCCTTACACCTAAGAGGAGATGAAACTGCAAAAAGATGTTTGAAAGGGGTCGCAGCAACGAATGCTTCTAATGGTGAATCTCTACGTTAGCTGCATACTAGAATCTCCTTGGGAAAGTTCAAAAAATCCCCAAGCCCAGATCTCATGCCAGACCAATTAAATCTGAATCTATAGGGGTGGAACCCATAGACCTAAGTATTTAAACAAACAAACAAACAAACAAACAAAACTCAGATAATTCCAAAGTGCAGCCGAGGTTGAGAATCGCTGTTTTAAAGCAGGTGCAAAAAATTAAACGTGGACTTTGATAGGGGGACGGTGGTAGGCATGGATGAACTGAAAAGCCCTTCAGAATAGAGCGGTGACTGCGAGAGCAAGGACAAAAACTATATGAGAGCCCGTGGCAGGAGATTTAAGGGCCGTTCTTGTGTGGGACTGACAGGATTTGGGGGACGGTGACGCCCTCAGCATACACCCGACTCTATTAAAGTTGAGTTATTCTGCCAGCGGCCCTGTCCCTACCCGCAATCATATTTTCTAGCACCTTTTCCCACAGTTTGGAAAAAAAAAAAAAGGGCGAAAACGTTCTCCCACGTAACGCGCCGTGGACGTGTATGGGAGGAGCAAAGGCCTGAGAATCACAAGCACGCGGCCGCTACCATTTCTTCGCGATTCCAGAACCAGAATTCACGAACATTTAGAGGAGGCCTTCCTCGGCTGTGTTTGTGCCCCACTTACGGAGCGATGGTGGATTTCTCTGGGCAAACTGTCGCCTTTACAACACCAGGGGGCGGAGGCGGGAGGGAGAGCGGCAAGGGTAAGGGCGGGGCAACTGCTGACGTTCCCGCTGACGACTCCGACTCAGCCCTAACCCTGGTTTCCGGCGGCGCGCGGCTCCCTTTTCCGCTCTCCCGCGCGAGCACAGGTACCGCCTCACTCCCACGCGCCCCCCAGCGCTGCCGTGCTAGACAGCTGAGAGAACAGACACAGACCTGTCGGAAGGTCCTCTGCAGGTCCCCCTTCCGCTCTGCCGATCGACTTCCGCCTCGGGCAGTCAACATGTACGTTGCGGCTGTCTGGCGAAGCTGCTTCTGAGCGTTTGCGGAGGCGCAGCTTCCCCTCTGCGGGGCCGCCCTGCTTCCCCCCGATCCCCGCCTCCCCCCGCCCCTCGCTCCCGTCCCTGGGGTCGGCGGACTTCTCGCTACATGGGGGCGGGCTTCCGCGGTCGGCGCACGGCTTCCTGTTCTGAGGCTGCCCGGCGGTAGGCGGTGGCGACTCTGCCCGCTCCCGTTTCGGCGCGGTGACCGAGCGCCCGGGAGGCTCGAGGACCGCATCGTGTGCCGTTGCGCCAAGCCCGGTCCTGCGCCGCCATGGCCCCAGTGCAGCTGGAGAACCACCAGCTGGTCCCGCCCGGAGGCGGCGGCGGGGGCAGCGGCGGACCCCCGTCAGCCCCAGCCCCTCCTCCCCCGGGAGCCGCCGTGGCGGCGGCCGCTGCAGCTGCGGCTAGCCCGGGCTACCGGCTGAGCACCCTCATTGAATTTCTGCTGCACCGGGCCTACTCGGAGCTTATGGTGTTGACGGACCTGTAAGTGCCCCGAAACCCCTGCCTGTTCCCCAGCCCCCCCTTCCCGCCCAACCGGCTGAGACGTTTGCACCTCCCTCTCCCCGAGAGGCTGCTGTGTTCTCCGCTGGACTGCTTAGTCTAGAATTTTTGAACTCCTGGGGTTCAGCGGAGGTGGAGAAGCTTTGTATCTGGGGTCTTCCTGGCAACGATGCAACCGAGACTTGTTAATTTCGCGTGTTGTTACACTTCCATCCACTGAAAATTGTATGAAATTTTTGTCCGAGTTCCCAACAGAACTCTCTTGATTTCTTGGCTGGAATACATAATATTCGAGCTTTCAGAAAAAACTCCATAGACGGGAAATTTGTATTACAGCCTCTTGACGATACGTTTTAAATGTAAGCTGTTACTGCTTCTAAGTTAATGGAGGAGCTACATGCGTTGTGTATAAAATACAAATTTGAATTCGAAGTACTTTTTTCTGGAACTTTTGAGTGTTTGAGGTCTTAATGAAGTTAGTGTGAGTAAAATTTTTTTTGTATGTAGCCTGTTATTTCTTGGAGTATGAAGGGGGTTTATAAATCACCTAGTTACCCATGAAATGCCTTGGGGCATGATTAAGTTGTTAATCCCTTCAGAATAGGATCAGAATATACTAATGAATTTCAGTGTGTGAAGAAAAGGCACCGTAACATTTTGGGACTCAGTTGTACATCTTATAACCCAGGTTCAGAAAAAGTTAATCAGAATTTTATTTTTTGTCTATTGCAAGACTTCAGATCAGGGTTATCAGTTGAGATACATTAGTATGCAGATATTAGGCTGTAAAGCGTTACAGTAATTCGTTTTAGAGATTGATAAGATACTTGTTTGCAGATGGCTGAAAGAATAGGCTACACTTACTCCTGTAAAACGTCATTCTCAGTTTTGATGTACTGTACTTTTTTGAATGGGACAGAAAAAAGTAGAGTTAAACAAGCCTGCCCATGGCTAATGAGAAATTTAAATAGCTGTCAGGATTAGGGACTATTGTAATGACATACCTCTCTGCACCATTTATTGTTGGATTTCATAAAAATCCAAGAATATCCATGAGAAAGTTTAATGTATGTGAAGGTCACTGTCCTATATAGAGCTATGGAAAAAAAATGTTGAAAACTGATGCTATCGGTGGTGTAGTTTGCTTTTCCATAGGGGATTTGTAGAAATTCCTTGAATTGTGGTTTTTTGTCTTTTTACTATTTTAGGAGTTGGTGTATGAAGAGAGGAACATCTGTTTTGTTGCTGTAGAATAAGTATGTAGTTATAGTCCCACACCCTTTATGTGATGATTCCCATATTTGTATCTCCAGCACAGACCTCTCTGATGAACTCCAGACTCTATATCCAGATGCCTACATTTCAGTATCTTGATAGGCGTTTCAACATAGCAACTCCAGGACCAAACTACTGATTCCACTGTCCTCCCTCCTGCAAAACCTTCTTTGCTATCTCACTAAATAGTATCTCCATTCTTCCTGTTGTTGCTCAGGCCAAAAATTTTGGAGTAACTCCTAGCTCCTCTTTCTTCACATCCTACATACATCAGCAAGTCCTGTTATCTTTGTCTTCAGAGTCTGACCATTTCTCAACGCTTCCACCAAGTGTTGGTCCAAGCCACCTAATCCTTCACCTGTGTACTGCAGTAGTTAGCTCACTGGTATCTCTGTAGTTCCCTTGCCCCTTCTATAGTTTCTTCTCCACAAAATAGCCAGAATGATTCTTTTAAAATTTCTCTGCTCAGAACCCTTCGATGGTTCCCCATCTCACTGAGATTAAAAAGTTTTGATAATTGCCAGGTGTGGTGGCTCATACCTGCAATCCCAGCACTTTGGGAGGCTGAGGCGGTATCACTTGAGCCCAGGAGTTCAAGACTCTTGTCTCTACCAAAAATAGAAAATTAACTGGGTGTGGTGGCCCAAGTCTGTAGTTCTAGCTACTTGGGAGGCGGAGGTGGGAGGATTGCTTGGGCCCAGGAGGTTCGCTTGAGCCCAGGAGGTTGAGGCTGCAGTGAGCATGATCGCATCACTGCACTCCAGCCTGGGTGACAGTGAGATCCTTTCTCAAAAAAAAAAAAAAAAAAAGTGTTGATAATCACCTGTATAGTGATCATAAAATTTATGGTCCAAACCGGGACACTTTTGAGCATAGTGGGGCTGATGATAATGTCAGAACAAGAGGCATAAACCAGGACTGTCTTGGGCAAACCAGAAAACCAGAACATGTGGTCATCTTACCTTTAAGGCCTTACATGATGTGCCTTCTCTTTTCCTTACCTCTTTTTTTTTTTTTGTCTCCAACCTCCTTACCACTTTTGGTTTGTCCCTTACCTCTTTAACTGCATGTCCTGAAACTCTCCTCTTTGCTTATCCTGTTCTGACCACATTACCCTTCCTGATGTTTCTTTTTTAAGACAGGGTCTTGCTCTGTTGCCCAGGCTGGAGTGCAGTGGCACAGTCATGCTCACTGCAGCCTCTTGACCTGGGCTCAACTGCTCCTCCTGCCTCAGCCTCCCAAATAGCTGGAACTACAGGCATGTGCCACCACACCCAGCTAATTTTTTTATTTTTGATAGAGACAAGAGTCTCACTATGTTGCCCAGGCTGATCTTGAACTCCTGGGCTTTAAGCAATCCTCCCACCTCTGCCTCCCAGATTTTTTTTTTTTTGAAACAGAGTCTCACTGTGTTGCCCAGGCTGGAGTGCAGTGGTGTGATCTTGGCTTGCTGCAGCCTCCGCCTCCCGGGTTCCAGTGATTCTTGTGCCTCAGCCTCCTGAGTAGCTGCGATTGCAGGCATGCACCACCACACCTGGTTAATTTTTGTATTTTTAGTAGAGATGGGATTTCACCATGTTGACCAGTCTGGTCACAAACTCCCAACTTCAGGTAATCTAATCTCCTTGGCCTCCCAAAATGCTGGGATTACAGCTGTGAGCCATCGCGCCCAGCCTCCAAACCTTCTTGATGTTTCTTGTTAGTGCCTAGCATGGTGCCATCTTCAAGCCCTTGCTTTTTCCCTAGAAATCTGTGTGGATTGCTTTCTCATTAGTCCTTTAGGTCCTTGTTTACATACAATTTATCAGAAAGATTTTCTCTGACCACCTATAAAATAGTACTCTGCCCCTTCAGTCTATCCTTTCTTGCTGCTCTATTTTTCTTTACAGCACTTATTGCCACCTGACATTATTAGCTTGTTGTTTGTTCCCACCCCATAAGGACAGAGATTTTGATTTATTTGTGACTTTCCCTGGGGCCTAGAACAATGCCTGGCACACAGGGCTTAACTAAGTATTTATTGATTTAATACATGAATGTTTAGAATTGTCATCAATATATGGTTTGATAGAAGAAATAACTAGTGTTTGATAAATCAGTAGGGTGACTAGTTTGCAAGAATCTGTTGTACACTTCAAAATAGCTAGAAGAGAATAATTCAGATGTTTCCAGCATAAAGAAAAATATTTAAGGTGATGGATATCACAAGTACACTGATTTGATCTTTACAAATTATATAAATGTATGAAATTATATGTACTGTGAAACCATACATCTTTAATGCATCAATAAAAATATTGTTCAAAAAGAATTGTAAATCATGGGAAATTTAATAGGAAAAGTTATTTTTGCTCTTGATACACAGGTATACTAAAAAACTTTTTTCACTTTTGATTGTGGTAATTATTAATAAAATTAGTTTGGAAACTTACCATGGAAGTTCCTAAATAGTATATTTTCCCTAAAAACTGTCAGGATTAATATGTTAATGTAGAGCCCGTGTTCTAGCTATACTTTATGAGTCTTTAGGGAAACAGTTACTTATTTCAGTAACAAGTGATGCTTGTGTGTGAACTATCGAAGGTAAAAAGGACAACCTTGGCAACTTAGGTGGTTTTGTTTTGGTCTCAGATTTCTGGGTTTTTCTGCTTATCCACCTCCCTTCCCCCTCAACATACACACTCTCATCCTAGAGTTTACTCTCTGCCTTGACTTTTTAGAGACCTAGGTTCTACCCTTTATTATTTTTTGAGATAGGGTCTTGCTCTGTCACCCAGGCTGGAATGCAGTGGCACAATCATGGCTCACTGCAGCCTGAACTTCCAGGGCTCAGGTGATTCTCCCACTTCAGCCTTCCAAGTAGCTGGACTACTTGCCACCACACTTGGCTAATATGTATTATTTGTAGAGCTGGGGTTGCTGTGTTGCTTAGGCTGGTCCCGAACTCCCGAACTCAAGTGATCTGCAGCCCAACCCCCACCCCCCGCCAAGCCTCCCAAAGCGCTGGGATTACAGGTATGAGCCATGTACCTGCCCCTCCCCCCCTTTTTTTTTTTAACTTCTTTTAATTAAAATCAGAAAATGCCAGGATCTCAGTCATGTCATCTTGTCTTATTGTGCTTTGGTGTAAATAAGTTTCTATGCCTTACTTCCCAACATTTGCATTTTAGAGCTTTTACCCTATGTGGTAACTTTCTTATAGATTATAGAATTTCAAATAGATTAGGAGGAATAGGGGAAAGGGGAGGCAGGCAGCAAAGCCCGTCTTCTGTCCCTGAACTGATGCTGCCTCTGACATGAGATGGTCCTTTTAGGGTCTCTGAGGCAGGTAGGAGGAGTGGGAACAATGATTGCTATTCTTTCTACCCCCAGAGGCTCTACTCCCCTTCTCCCCTTATAGATACCCATCGTTCTCATTCTCCCCCTCCCTTGAGGTGAAGACAGGGTAAGGGCTGTGGATTCTCAAGGAGTGTTCTCAGGAGGTTTGGCATGTAGAGGAACTTGCCAGTAGCTGCCTTTATTTGCAGTCTTCTAACAGGACCTTAATTTCTGCTTCATCCCTCTGGTCTTCATCCCACCTAGCTCTCTTTATCATTCTGACCATAACTTTAACTTCCATCTCACTGTCTACCCTAAGAATAGCAGGTAACTATAAGCCAGAGCTCATTTTAATATTTTCTCCTCCTTGTACTTTGAACCTCTGGAAGTAGTTTTAGTTTTTCTGTTCCTGTGGCACATGGGTGGGAGACAATCTAAATGGCTGGGTGTGTATACTTCAAGAACTGATTAGCTGTGAAAGAGGCATGAGAGTTGTTTAGGCCATTGAATCTTGGACTGTGGGATAGAGGTTAACAGAATGTGGCAATTCAGGAGGCATTAAGGATCTTTCTAGACATCAGTGGATGTGAATGTTTAATGGTATAACTTATCTGGGAAGAAGTTGACATTGGTTGCTGGCTATCAATATTGGAGGACTAGCAAAAAGAAATTTAAAAATCCTATTGGAGCTGTTTAAAAACAATAAAACATTTTTCATTTAACCACCATGCAACATAATTACTGTAAAACCCTTGACATACACTGGCCCTTTTGTATGCTTAGCTTCCAGTTTTGTCCACCATAACACAACATGGAGGGATTATTGCTTGGAAACAGGTATCCATTGGATACAGGGAGGCTGGCAACAAAGTAGTAAGTTCTGCATCTGTGACCATTTTGGTTTTAAAATAATCTTTTCTCTGTTACCCTATGATATAGTGTGCTAATGTGGGACTTGGGCTTTTTAAATGTTTGAGGTTCATGCAATACGTTTTGAAATATTTTGAATGGAGAGAAATGTTCTTTGGTTGGTTTTTGCCTTACAACCATGCTGCTGGAAACTCATAAATCTAAAAAAGCATAGGTAGCCACATGACCCTGTAGTAGCTGTTTACCCAGTTTTTCTGAAACATTAATGTGTTTAATAGAGTCAAAGTAAAGACTATTATCACATTAGAATGAAGGTATACATGTATTTAATCAATTTGTTTTTTGTTTTTTGTTTTGTCTTAGACTGCCAAGGAAATCTGATGTGGAAAGGTGAGTATGAAAACAAACAAACGAACAAACAAACCCTTAAAGTCTCTTTATTGATCAATCTATGAGTGTTGGTGTGTGGGTATGGGTGGTGTAGGGCTGTGGATTGGAAACCTAGGCCCAAAGAGTCTAGAATGATTTTTCACACCATGGGTTTAGGGAGTCCTGGGAAATATAATTTCCTAACCCTTAACAATAGTTGGTGTGAGACCAGTTCTACATCTTCTATTCTACAAACCTTTATTGAGTGACTGACCTGGTCAAGTCCCTAAGGGTGATATTAAGATGTAGAAGGTATAGTCTGTAAAGGAAGACGCTGAGGAGCAGCAGACTGGCTTTAGAAAGTTGACTGCCACAGGCATGGTGGCATGTGCCTGTAGTCCCAGCTACTCAGAAGGTTGAGGCAGAAGAATTGTTTGAACCCAGGAGGCAGAGGTTGCAGTGAGCCGAGATCAGGCCACTGCACTGTAGCCTGGGCGACAGAGTGAAACTTTGTCTCAAAAAAAAAAAAAAAAAACCACAAAGTTGGCTGCTAATTTATCACTTGCAACAATGATGCTATTAAGTATCTTTAGAGAATTGACATTTGCCTGCTGCTCCTACTGTTACATAGTTAACATTTTGGTTCAGTTGGAGCTTGGAGCTTAAGATTTAACTTAAGGCTAAAATGTTTCCAGAGGCTAAAGGAACAAGCTAAATTAAAGTTTCAAAAAAATCATTTGATGGAGATTTAAATTGTAACTACAGTATACGGTACTTGACCATATCTTTGGCACTACTTATGCTCCTTGGCTGATTTTTTTTTTTTTTTAAATACCAAATCACTTGGCAACTTTTTAGCATTTCTTAGTGGCAACACTCCATTGCCAACCCCAGCTTAACTTTTTGATCGACTTAGAGATCAAAAAGGTAGAAGTAAAAGAGACAATTAAGGCAACCTGTGTTATGGTTTGGCTGGTCAGTATTAAAGGGGGAAAACGTTAAGTCAAGGATTTGTTCTGTCTCCTGTGGGGTATGAAGGGAAACTGGGCCTTTGGAAAACTCATGTTCCCTATCACTTGAGATGACATGGTGTCAGAAAACCATGTTACTGTAGTTTACAAAGGGGACATCTCCGTTCTAGTAGAGGACTGCATTTGGGAAACCGAATTAATAATAGACAAGTGTGTTTGCTCTGTGAGAGGAGCAGAAACATTGCATCCTCTATAAGCCATTGCTGAGTTAGAGTGAAGGTACTGAGGTTCCCAGCCCTGAGATCTGCTGGATCTTAATGTGTGTTTAACATTTCTGCTGTGTCTCAGTCTTGTCTCATGATCCTTCATAGACACTGGCAAAGAGTTATAATTATGCCCTTGATTCTTCTCTTTATAGTACCACTAATCATTGCTGGCCTATCTTCAAGAGAGCCTTTTAGGGTGCTTGTGGGCTATGTGTGCTCTCAGTAGGAGCTAGCCTCTAGCCTTCAGTCAGGATTGTACTTCAGCAAGAACTTTTACTTTGGTGCATTGCGTTATGGTGGTGGTATTGGCAAGATGTAGAGATGTGGATTGGATCTGTAGGTCATTGAACAGCTGTACTAAGATTAATAGGTCAGAGCCTACTTGGAGGGAGGTTGGTGTCCTGCTGGGTCCTGTCATCAGTCCTGGCTTGTTGAATATTTTTTTCAGTGTCTTAGACCATGAAAGATATGATTATCAGTTTTATGGCTGCTATGAAGTTGAGAGATCTAGCTAACACATTGATTGACGTTAGTAAAGCTTTTGGGGCTTTAGGATGAGATAAAAGTACTAATGAGTATTGGGGGAAAAGGAATAATAGTGAGTATAGGATAAAACTAGATATGGACAGACCTTTTATTTTTAGTACTCAAAGTAATTTCTTTAGCTTTGCTTGGATATTTTTTAATGTATCCAAGCTTGTCACTGAAATTAGTTTGGTAAAGAGTTACATAGTTAAGTTCTTTAATTATTCAATTTTTTTTTTTTTTTGAGATGGAGTCTCGCTCTGTCGCCCAGGCTGGAGTGTAGTGGCCGGATCTCAGCTCAGCTCACTGCAAGCTCTGCCTCCCAGGTTTACGCCATTCTCCTGCCTCAGCCTCCCGAGTAGCTGGGACTGCAGGCGCCCGCCACCTTGCCCGGCTAGTTTTTTTGTAGTTTTTAGTAGAGACGGGGTTTCACCGTGTTAGCCAGGATGGTCTCGATCTCCTGACCTCGTGATCCGCCTGTCTCAGCCTCCCAAAGTGCTGGGATTACAGGTTTGAGCCACCGTGCCCGGCCTGATTATTCAATCTTTCATGCTAGTGCAGGATGGGAAATGGTGCCCTTTTGTAGAATGAATACAGTTTCAGGCTTTGGTAATGATCAGTTTCAATTCCTTTCACTTACCAAAAGGGTTACTAATTACTTACTAATTAAATTACTCCTAATTTCAGTTATGAGTTGATAATTCATAACTCTTCATTTAATCCCTTCTGTGAACCAGTTTACTTCTACTGCCATATACTGAATTTAGCATATTTTTGTAAACAACTTTTATTACAATATAAAATCAATTTAAAAATGTGACTTATTGCTAAAACATTCTATTTGGTTTATTGCTCTGAGGTGAAAAAGCATATGCAGATAGTATACAAAATGTGACAATAGTTCATATTTAGATAAATACTTTAGGTGGCTCATTTTGTAGTGGTTTTAAGCAAAGGCTGATTTATTTATATATTTATTTATTTTTTTGCTCAGCTGAAATAAATTGTGAAATACTTTTTCTAATATGTTGGTTCTTTAAGAGTTGTTTTATTTTATAGGAAAATAGAAATAGTGCAGTTTGCTAGCCGGACACGCCAACTCTTCGTTCGATTATTAGCTTTAGTGAAATGGGCTAATAATGCTGGCAAAGTGGAAAAATGTGCGGTGAGTTAAACTTTTTATTTTACTTTGTATAAAATAACTTTTTGGATGTTATGATAGACATTTTAGCTTTAACTATCCTTGCCAATTTGAGTGACGTGAATAATCATATTTCTGAATGATAATGTATATTTCTGCAGAAACTTAGTATTTTTTTTGTTTTTTTAATTTATTTTTTATTTATTTATTTATTTTTTTTTTATTTTTTTTTATTATTATTATACTTTAAGTTCTAGGGTACATGTGCATAACGTGCAGGTTTGTTACATATGTATACTTGTGCCATATTGGTGTGCTGCACCCATCAACTCGTCAGCACCCATCAACTCATCATTTACATCAGGTATAACTCCCAATGCAATCCCTCCCCCCTCCCCCCGCCCCCCTCCCCATGATAGGCCCCGGTGTGTGATGTTCCCCTTCCCGAGTCCAAGTGATCTCATTGTTCAGTTCCCACCTATGAGTGAGAACATGCGAAACTTAGTATTTGTTTATGGACACCTGATCAGAAAGAAGAGGAGGTAGCTGGAGACATCATTACATGAGGAGACTTTAAATATGAGACTGGGGCAAAAGGGGGAAAATTGTTAGTTTATATTTGTACGATTCCTTAGAATTTGCAAGGTTCTCCCTTACATTTTGCTTATTAATTCTTGACAATCCTGTGAGAATGGCAGAGTTGGTAATTTTTTTTCTCAGTTTTACAGATGATGAAACGATAAGGTTCCTAGAAGTTATATGGCTTCTTCAAGGTCGCAGAGGCTGATAACAACATTTTTCTGTTTGTTTATCTACTAATTCTCCAAACCTCTAATAAGCACAGGGTATAGGGGACAGAGGATGGAATCTTCAATAAGGAATAGTCCCTGCATTTGAGAACCTCATGGTCTTTTGACTATTGAATCACTCTTTGGAATGCAAAGTGACATGCAGTGCAGTGTACCAAAGATGCTAAAATCTACCAGAAATAAAGTTTTATGCTATGTTCAAGAAGCGTTAAGGAATAAAAACTTGATTTTTTTTTCAGATTGTTCACTGTTGGCATATAGAAATATTACTGATATTTTGTATGTTGATTTTGTATTCTGCAACTTCACTGAATTTATCAGTTCTAATAGATTTTGGTGGGGTCTTTAGGTTTTTCCAAATATAAGATCATATCATCTGCAAACAAGGATAATTTGACTTCTTCCTTTCCAATTTGGATGCCCTTTCTTTCTTTCTTTTGTCTGATTGCTCTAGCTAGGAGTTCCAGTACTGTGTTGAATAATAGTGGTGAAAATGGGCATCCTTGTCGTGTTCCAGGTCTGAGAGGAAGGGCTTTCAGTTTTTCTCCATTCAGCATGATAATTAGCTGTGGGTCTGTCAAATATGACTTTTATTATGTTGAGGTATGTTCCTTCTATACCCAGTTTTTTGAGGGTTTTTATCATGAAGGGATGTTGAATGCTATTACATGTGTTTTCAGCATCAGTTGAAATGATCACATGGTTTTTATTTTTCATTCTATAGATATGATATATCACATTGATTGATTTGTATATTTTGAACCATCCTTGCATCCCAGGGATAAATCCCACTTGGTCATGACGAACGATCTTTTTAATGTTTTGTTGAATTTGGTTTGCTAGTATTTTGTTGAGAGGATTTTTGTATCAACATTCATCAGATATATTGGTCTGTAATTTTCTTTTTTTGATTTGTCTTTGTCTGGTTTTGGTATTAGGGTAATACTGGCCTTGTAGAATGAGTTTGGAAGTTTTCCCTCTTCCACTATTTTTTGGAATAGTTTAAGTAGGATTGTTATTAGTTCGTCTTTAAATGTTTGGTAGAATTCAGTAGTGAAGCCATAAGGTCCTGGGCTTTTCTTTGCTGGGAGACAAATTATAATTAATATAATGAATTATAGCTTCAATCTTGTTACTTGTTATTAGTCTGTTTGGGTTTTGAATTTCTTCATGGTTCAATCTTCACAAGTTGTATGTGTCTAGGAATTTATCTATTTCCTCTAGATTTTCCGATTTATTGGCATGTAGTTGCTTACAGTAGCCACTAATGATCCTTTGAATTTCTGTGGTATTAGTTGTAATGTTTCCTTTTCATCCCTGATTTTATTCATTTGGGTCTTCTCTCTTTTTTTCTTTGTGAGTCTGGTTAAAGGTTTATCAATTTTGTTCATTGTTTCAAAAAATCAACTTGTTTCATTGATCTTTTGCATTGTTTTCTTCGTTTCAAATTCATTTATTTCTGCCCTGATCTTTAGGTTTCCGGTTTCTCTTGCTTTTATAGTCTTTAAGATGCATCCTTAGGCTATTTATTTGAAGTTTTTCTTCTTTTCTGATGTAGGCACTTATAACTATAACTTTCTTTCTTAGTGCTGCATCCCATAGGTTTTGGTATGTTGTGTTTCCATTATCATTTATTACAAGAAATTTGTAAATTTTCTTCTTAATTTGTTCATTGACCCACTGTTCATTTGGGAGCATATTGTTTCCGTGTGTTTGTATAGTTTCCAAAATTCCTCTTAATGTTTTCTAGTTTTATTCCATTGTGGTCAGAGAAGATGCTTGATATTATTTCAGTTTTTCTAAATGTTTTAAGACTTGCTTTGTGGCCTAACATACGGTCTATCCTTGAGAATGATCTATATGCTGAGGAGAAGAATGTGTATCCTGCAACCTTTGGATAAAATGTTCTGTAAATATCTATTAGGTTTATTTGTTCCATAGTGCAGATTAAGTTCTATGTTTCTCTGTTGAGTTTCTGTCTGGGAGATCCGTCCAGTGCTGAAAGTGGGGTGTTGAAGTCTACAGCTATTATTGTATTGACATCTTGCTGTTTAATAATATTAGTATTTGGTTTATGTATCTGGGTGCTCCAGTGTTGGATACATATATGTTTACAATCATATCCTTTTTCTGAATTGACTCCTTTATCATTAATGACCTTGTTTGTCTGTTTTCATAGTTTTTGTCTTGAAATCTATTTTGTCTAAGTATAGCTACTCCTACTCCTTTTTGGTTTCCATTGACATATAAATCTTTTTCCATCCCTTTATTTTCAGTCTGTGTATGTGTGTCTTTATAGGTGAAGTATGTTTCTTATAGGCAACAGATCATTGAGTCTTGTTTTTTTAAATCCATTCAGCCACTCTGTGCCTTTTTATTAGAGAGTTTAGTTCATTTACATTTAGTGTTATTATTGATAAGTAGAGATTTACCCTTGCTGTTTTGTTGTTTTCTAGTTGTTTTGTGGTCTTCTCTTCCTTTTTCCCTTCCTTCTTATCTTCCTTTTAGTGAAGGTGATTTTCTCTGGTGACATGATGTAATTTCTTGTTTTTTATTTTTTGTATCCGTTGTATTTTATTTTATTTTTTTTCTGAGATGGAGTCTTGCTTTGTTGCCCAGGTTGGAGTGCAGTGGCGCAATCTTGGCCCACTGTAACCTCTGACTCCCAGATTCAAGTGATTCTACTGCCTCAGCCTCCTGAGTAACTGGGATTACAGGCGCATGCCACCACGCCTGGTTAATTTTTGTATTTTTAGTAGAGACGGGGTTTTGCCTCGTTGGCCAGGCTGGTCTTGAACTCCGGACCTCAGGTGATCCACCTGCCTCGGTTTCCCAAAGTGCTGGGATTACAGGCGTGAGCCACTGCACCTGGCCCATTGTGTGTTTTTTGATTTGAGGTTACTGTGAGGCTTGCAAATACTGTCTTATAACCCATTATTTTAAACTGATGACAACTTGACACTGATTGCATAAACAGACACGCAAAAAGAAAACTAATGAAAACTCTGCAATTTAACTTTATCTCCCTCCTTTTTAACTTTTTTGTTTCTCTTTAGTTCTTATTGTCTTGAAAAGTTCTGTGTCTTCAAAAGTTGTTGTAGTTATGATTTCCTGTTGGTTTATCATTTAGTCTTTCTATTTAAGATAAGAGTAGTTTACATAGTACAATTACAGTGTTATAATATTCTGTATTTTTCTGTGTGCTTACTATTACCAGTGAGTTTGTACCTTTAGATGATTTCTTCTTGCTTATTAATATACTTTTCTTTCAGATTAAAGAACTCCCTTTAGCTTTTCTTGTAGGACAGGTCTGATGTTGATGAAATCTCTCAGCTTGTTTGTCAGAGAAAGTCTTTTTTTCTCCTTCATGTTTGAAGGATATTTCCACTGGATATGCTATCCTCGGGTAAAAGTTTTTTTTTCCTTCAGCACTTTAAATATGTCATACCATTCTCTCCTGGCCTGTAAGATTTCCACTGAAAAGTCTCCTGCCAAACGTATTAGAGAGCTCTGTTGTATGTTATTTGTTTCTTTTCTCTTGCTGCTTTTAGGATCCTTTCTTTATCCTTGACCTTTGGGAGTTTGATTATTAGATGCCTTGAGGTAGTTGTGTGGGTGCTAAATCTGCTTGGTGTTCTGTAATCTTCTTGTACTTGAGTATTGATATCTTTCTCTAGGTTTGGGAAGTTCTCTGTTGTTATCCTTTTCAATAAACTTACTACCCCCTATCTCTCTTTTTCTGCCTCCTCTCTAAGGCCAATAATTTTGAAATTTGTCCTTTTGAGGCTATTTTCTAAATTTTGTAGGTGTGCTTCATTCTTTTTTGTTCTTTTGTCTCTTCTGACTGTGTATTTTCAAATAGCCTGTCTTCAAGCTCACTAATTCTTTCTTCTGGTTGATCAACTCTGTTATTAAGAGATTCTGATACATTCTTCAGTATGCCAATTGCATTTTTCAACTCCAGAGTTTCTGCTTGACTTTTAAAGCAATTATTTCAATCTCTGTTAAATTTATCTGACTGAATTCTGAATTCATTCTTTGTGTTATCTTGAATTTCTCTGAGTTTCCTCAAAACAGCTATTTTGAATTTTCTGTTGGAAAGGTCTCATATCTCTGTTTCTCCAGGATTGGTTCCTGGTACCTTCTTTTGTTCATTTGGTGAGGTCCTGTTTTCCTGGATGATCTTGATGCTTTTAGATCTGGGCCTCAAAGAGT